TATATATATATATATATATATATATATATATATATATATATATATAAAATTTGTGTACCATTAGGCTAATTATGAAGATTGTATAAACTGTAGAATATGAGTAAGTAAAGTACTTCTGTACAGAGAATGGTGAGTTATGTCGAGAAATCCTGTTTTAAATCAGTTCTTCAATTATTGTCTGATTAGTCATAAATTGACTTCTTCCACATAATGAGTTTAATGGTCTTCTGCAAAGCGCAAAAAATGAGGATAATGGATAATAAAAAATTCAAGTTGATTTCTCAAAAAAAGCTTTAGAAAGTTGGCCAACTAATTACTGTACTCATATTCCCTAATTAATGAAGAGAGCGAAATGAGTAAGTTTATCACTTCAGCTTGAGTTGAAGTTATTTCGGTTGTTGCGTAATTTGAATATAATCAATTAGATTATTGTGAGAGAAAATATAGCATATATTCTTCCTTCAACTCGCCTCGATTAATTTGCACTCATTAGCTCTTAAGGGATATAAATAATGACGCGGTCTGCTTCTTCTTACAACTGAATCCGGAGTTATGTATCATTAGATCCTAATGGTGATGACATGGCACACATTGTCTTCCTAAATCAAAACAACCGGATCCGAAATTATGTATTATATCATAGCTTGCATTTATTCAACCCCAAAACAATGAATGTTACATGAACAAAACAAATCAGAATCGCAATTCAGAAGGCAAATAGTCGAAAAACGCACTGATCATGAAGTAACAGAAACTACGACTGCCATGAAGGAAGCACCAAAAATATCAGCGGCAGTTGCGGCAATGAGAGCATTTGCGGAACAAACGAGTACATTGGGTCTTGAAGGATTGCGGAATAGCTTTTGCAAATTACAAGCACGTGGACCACATCCACATAATTTAACATCTAATGCCCAAAAAATGAATCGAACCAAATGCCGATACCACGGTACATACTCATCAGTGTTTTCAGTACTTCATTTTATTTGCTAAATTACTTACGTGCACTTACGCAATGAGGTCAGTTTTAATAAACGGAATAAAATTTAATTTAATTTCTATCATGAGGTAAAGTAATTTAAATAATATCTATTACGATCATAATAGTGATCAAGTTTGAAAAGATTTTCTGCGTTCTTTTTAACTTTCCATTTACATGACCTGATATAATAATTTGCAATATTACTCCTACTGCCACCGCAGTACTGAATTACTGCACCATTACATTACTGAATTGTTGCATCATTATATTGCTGCACTTTTGCTTTATCGAATTATTATATTATTGTATTATTATCACTAATTAACTATGTAACAGAAATAATAATAGTAATTATAGATAAGTTATAATTATATGCGTTTCTTTTTTCGGATATTTCAATTTTCGATTTACAACGAATAAAGGAAGGATACTTTGCAGACATTATGTGCTTGGATAACACTCGTGTGCTCCTTAAACCGTGGCCAGAATGTCAAGGTGATTTCATACATGCGAATTGGATTAACAATGAACTTCTTGATTATCCCTTCATCTGTACACAAGTATTCAATTCCTCTCCATTTCCATTTATTATTATTATAGTAATAATAATTGTTATTATTATTAAGCAAATGCAATCGTACTGATTATATTATATTAAGGGACCATTGAATCAAACTTGTGGTGATTTTTGGCGTATGATTTGGCAAGAAAATGTTGAATTAATAATAATGCTTTGTCGCACGCTTGAAGAAAATCGTAGCAAATGCGCCCAATATTGGCCAATAAATCAAGGCCAAATGCTTACATTTTGTGGGATTACAATTCGAGCTGTTGAAGTAAGCTATCATTTTCTTCCTTTTTTTTTTCTTTTACATAATCATCACTTATAAATACTAAAAAAAAAAACCAATTGAAATATGGCAATTAATGATAATTCAAAACATTATGTACTAATGGATCAGAAATGCAACGATGTTTTTATCACTGATTACTATTTTACAAATTATCGCATGAAATATTAAAAATGGCTCATAAAATAAAGTAAGGTAGCAGTAAATTAAATATTTTGTACCAAAAAGGTTTCAGGGAAATATCCATCAGAAATGACACATTGAATTTCTGATGAAATGAGAGAACTGTTGTTAAACTGAAATAGTTCCAGAAACGAACAAGTGATCCGGACGTGCACTGTACTGCGTTGTTGTTAACATATCGTGGTGCACGACGTCCTCTTGCTCATTATCAGTGGGTATCTTGGCCTGATAAATTTGTCCCTAGTCAATTAACAGTGCCGTATACATTACTTAGCTCAGCTCGAGCCCGAAAAACACCTACTGTTATACACTGTTCAGCTGGAATTGGACGCACGGGTACATTGGTGGTGCTCGAATTACTTTCTAGGCAAGTTTAAATTTTTATTTAAACCTTCAAATAAAAATATTAAAATAAAACCAAAAAAAAACCTAAAATTAGATGATTCAACAGGGCTGAGTAATGTTGTTACCTTTTTGTTTTGCTCAAATAAAATATTAAACAAACAGATTATTTGATCCAATAAGATATCAATATTAAATATAAAAATGAAATGAACTATGCAAATAGCTTAAAGAAAAAAAAACCAGTAATGAAATTATTTTTAGTTTTTTAATTCATTCATTTTCTATTATCAAAAATGGATCGCTTTTATGAGGATAATTAACGAAATTTGATAATTTAAAATGGAAAAAGAGGAAACTGTTGTAAATAAAAATAACGCAAAAATATTTTAATAATTTATATAACAATATTCCATGAATTTCATTTTAACCGAATCATTTGAATTAAAATTCTTTCTTTTTCCGAAATTTTTTTAAACAAAATTAGAGAAAATTATTGCAGAACACTGTTGTCATGTCGTATACCAGTGGTGACAGATATTATTTGGTCAGTTAGATCACAACGTTCACGTGCAGTTCAAAATGAAGAACAATATTTGTACATACATTATCTTACAATACAACGATTGGTTAATAAAGGCATCGTATCTGATAAAGCTGTTTCAAGTAAGTTCAAATTTTAAATTTTTCAAAAAGTTTTTGGAAAAATTCTTTTACTATTATTAATTAGTGTGCTCCTGAATAAATTTGCCTACTTAAAAGAGTTATGCATGCATGCATGCGTAAGAAGTGTAAAAGCAATTGAATTGCAAAGACAAAATCATTTATAGCATTTCTATTTGCAGAGTTTGCATAATATTTGCAAAATTGTTACTTTAGTAAGATATGAATACATGTTGTTGCAGTACCGTGCAACGCTTCATGCATGCATTCATGCATGCCACTGTCTTCGGATGAAGTTATATGAAATTTTTTTTGGCATTTTTTTTTCTTTTAAATAAGATCAAGTCATTTCTGCAGCATATTATTGCATGCAATTTTTTAGAATTTTGCCGCGATTATGAGCATTTTTATTTTACACGTACACATCGGATGCAAATTCCGTTACCGATTTATGATAAAACGAAAAATTACGGCCAAAAAACCGATTACACCAGAATCGATGACAACAGTGTCACCATCATCAGTATCACCAATACCGATACGGAGAAAGGGTTCACCCACATCGACCGGAACGTCAAAAAGTCAGGATATTACTTCTCCATCGACGACAGGCAATAATTCAAAGTCTGTTCAACAGCTGAAGAAAAAGAAAGGATCGATCAAAAAGAAAACAGTATTTCTTCGGGAACTGTCGTTACTTTTTTCGTCCTTCTTTCTCATATTTTTAAACCTTAAAATTTAAATTTTCTTTGATTGAATTATTTGTCATTTTTTTTTTATTTTCAGACAACAGGAACTATCGAAGAATTTGTGCCAGTACGATTATCGCCTAATTATTTTCTTCATCGATTTTTCGTTTCGAAATTTTAAAATTACACTTAATAAAATTTTGGCTAAATTTCGTGAAAAAAAAAAGAAAAAGGAATTGTCAATTCAAAAGTTTTTTTTTTTTGTTTTCCTTTCTCAATTCAGTGTTCACTCATTCTTTTTGTTTCATTTTAATTAATGTGAATTTAAATGAGAATAAGAAAAGAGGACGAACATGAAATGGCAGTCATTTGTTACTGAGTTTAAGGGAATCGGAAGTGTTGAAAGTGTACTGTACAGGCATTGGTTGAAAACTACTAATTAGCTGATAGCTCTTAAATTTTAGTTGGCTCACTTTTTCAATGATTATTTTGAGTACTTGCTATAATCACTGGGAAATCATGCAAATATACATCATTGATTGATTGATTGATTGACTAATTGATACTTTAAATTTAAATGTTTATTCGTAACTGAGTAAAAATTACATCGATCAGTGGACTAATCAATTATTTTTATTAAAAAAATTCTTTTCCTCTTTGATTAATCCATCCAAACTCTCCTTTCTTTCGTTTTTTTTTTTTTTAGTTCCAACACAGCGACATCAAGTGACAGCGGCGAAATTATCACGATCACAGACTAATCTTCAGCAAGAATATCAAGAAGCTCAGAAGGCATTACTAGAAACGTATCGTAAAGAGCAAATGACCGGAACGAAAGCGTCAATGCGTAAGGAACAACGAAAAACAAAGAATGATAAAGTGGTACCAATAGAAGCGAGTGTTATTCAAAATGTACAAAAGGATGATCAAGCATTAGATGTTGAAGTTCCTGATAATAACGTGAAGGAAATTATACAAGGGACGAAAATTGCAGAAACTGAGGTGATACATCCAATTGTTTCCAATCATCTTTTCTCTCTTTTTTTGTTTGTTTTTTCTCCAAAAACATAGAATGAAACTTGAATAATAGTTGTGACTAAAAAAAAAAAACGAAATAATTTACTTATAAAATTTAAAAGATGACAATTCCAAATTGTATTATGAAAGGATAAATTATCATTATTACGTTTTGCATAACAGTAAAACCTGAGATTAATAATTTCAAATATTAGAAAAGAAAATTTTTAATTTGGAAATTTAGAAAACGCAAATTTAGACAGGAAAACCAGAAGTTGAAGAAGTTGCTTCTCGGTCAGTATATGCATTCCTCAGTGATGAGGTTTTGAAAATTAAACAATTGGTGGAAAATCCTGTACCAAAAGAGGATGAAATTGACACAGCTGATTATGTCTTTATGCAACCCCTCTATGCACGTACATACGGAGCCGTTGAAACAGAAAGTCGAGATATGACAGAGAAATATATGATGAATATGCTTCCGGAAGAGGTTATTTATTCTCCTATTAATAAAAGATTTCAGTTCTTTTTTTTAAATCCTGAAAAATCCCATTACTTTTATTTCAATTTGTAATTAATAGCAATAATTCCGAAGAAAAAAATGGTTCAATTTATTCAGAATTTTGTTGAAATTTTTATATCTTAATAAAAATTGAATTACGATTTTAGTACTTTGATAGAGCAATGGATGATGGCGCAGAATACGTTGCAAGTATGCCAGTAAATAAAAGCAAAGAAAATATAGGAGGTGCCGAAAAGTTGCTAAAAAGTTCGTCGAAATCAAAGGTTCCTTAATTACTCCATTCTAATTTTTCATATATGTAATTTGTTTATTGGTGTTAAAGACAAATACATAAAATTGAAATGCATCGCTGAGGTTCCAAAAATCAGAATATAAGAAATGACGTCATACTTAATTATGTTTAAAGCTTAAAAGTGGTAAAATAATTATGAAATTAGAAGGCAATATATGGTAATACATAATACTAACACTATTAGTTAAACAAATTAAAACAACCATTGGAATTGAAACAGTGAAACAACCCAAACATTAGTTCTTTGTTAAATCCCATTTCATTAGCAAAAGTTAATATTTCACTCATATTACAAGCAATGGAGAGTGAAATTCATCACACGAGTAATCAATAGCATTCATATGGAGAAAAAAATCTGTGAATAGTTGAAATTTTCGAATTTTCAGAAAAGCAGAGGTCAAAAATAGTAAAGGAGAATTCTCCCCATCCCGATTCCGGTGATATTGCACATTTATGTAATTTTGAAAACAAATGCATTCCTTGTGTTAAATTACATTCAATAATGTAGTAAACATATATTCTAACTTTTCGTTTCATTTTGTTATCACAATCGTAGAAAAAATAAACAAGAATCATTATATACAATTTATAAAATATCCAAATGAAACTGCTGCAATTTGTCATTCATGCATTCCATAATCAGCACACATTCTGCATGAATCTATGAAGCTCATCGATTTGAATTTCATGTGAATAAAAGAATGAAAATATGAAAATGAAATATAAGCAAAATATTCGTAATACCTGCTCCACTGAGTGGTATTATGTCCTATCTCATTTTCATCATTATTTTCCAAAATGAAATGGAAATAGCAAGAAATTCTGCAATAAATATTTATGACACCTGAAAAATTA